TCAAAACAATTACTATCTAACTATCCTTCCCCCAAGTTAGACTTGTGAAACTGACTTTGTGTAACCAAGTGAAAGATATTTATTCCTAATTAATTTCATATTATCAGATTCGTACTGATGCTCTAGCCTGTCTCTGTAGTGTTCTTCAAGGCTCTGTCCTAGGTTCCTCTCTCTTTTTACTCTATGCTATTTCAATTACAGATCTCATCAGCTATCATGGGTTCAATTATCATCCCTATGCAGATTATTCCAAGAGCATTATATCTAGCCCTAATCTCTCTGCTAAGGTAGTTATGAATCTCCAACTGCCTCTTGAACACCTCAACATATCTAAAGCAGAACTCATTATCTTTCTCCCCCTCCCAAACCATCCCTCCTTCAGAATTTCCTTATTATTGTCAAGGATATCAGTACCCTCTGTCACCAGCCTCTTAAAGCCTCACTTTCACTCATCCCACAACGACAATCTATTACCAAATCCCCTCATTTCTACTTTCACAACAGCTCTGGTATGTCTTCCCTTCTCTCTACTTATACATTCCACAACTCTGATTCAGGCCCTCATCACCTTTCACCTGGACTACTACAATAACAGCCTTCTAACTGTTCCCTGCCTCAACTCTCTCTCCACTCAGCCACCAAGGGGATAAAGGCATTGCTCTGACCATGTCACACACTCCCAACTTCAACCTTGCTCAGCAAGCTTCAATGGCTCCCAATTATTTCCAGATCAAATATAAAGTCTTTTGTTTGGCATTTAAAGCGCTTCACTATTACCTGACTCCTCCTTAACTTTTCCAGTCTTCTAATACCTTACTCCCCTCTACACTCCTACACTGGCTAACCTGCCGTTCCTCCACTTCATTTCCCATCTCCCTGACTTTGCGCTGGCTGTCTCCCAGGCCTGGAATGCTCTGCCCCCTCACCTTAGCCTCTTACTTTCCTTGGCTTCCTTTAGCACTCAGCTGAAATCCCATCTTCTGTAGGAAGCATTTTCTGGTCTTTCCAAGCTGTTAATAACTTCCCCTTTCAGATACTCACATTTACTTTGTATATATCTTGTTTGCACCTAGTTATGTACATGCTGTCTTTCTAGCAAGCTCCTTGAAGACAAGGACTCCCTACCTTTTCTTTGTATCCTACAATAAGCACTTAAGAAATGCTTGCTGAAGTCATTCCCCAATTGATAAATGGTCAAAGGATATGAACAGGCAGTTTATGGATTAAGAAATTAAAGCTATCTACAGTCATATGAAAAAATGCTCTAAATCACTATTGATTAAATCACTATTGCAAATCAGAACAACTCTGAGGTATCACCTTATACCTATTAGATTGGCCAACATGACAAAACAGGAAAATGATAAATGTTGGAGAAGATGTGGGAAATTTGGAACACTAATGCATCGTTGGTGGAGTTGTAAACTTATCCAACCATTCTGGAGGGCAATTTGGAACTATGCCCAAAGGGCTATAAAAATCTGCATACCTTTTGACCCAGCAACAGCACTTCTAGGGCTGTATCCCAAAGAGATCATACAAATGGGAAAAGGACCCATGTGTACAAAAATATTTATAGCAGTTTTTTTGTGGTGGCAAAGAATTGGAAATTGAGGGAATGCCCATCAGTTGGGGAATGGCTGAACAAGTTGTGGTATATGAATGTAATGGAATACTATTGTGCTATAAGAAATGATGAGCAAGCAAAATTCAGAAAACCCTGGAGAGACCTGTATGGACTAATGCTGAGCGAAGTGAACAGAACCGGGAGAACATTGTACACAGTAACTGCCACGACGTTGCACGATGACTTTGATAGATTTAGCTCTTCTCAGCAATGCAAGGATCCAAGATGTCTCCAAAAGTCTCATGATGGAAAATGCTACCCGTATCCAAAGAAAGAACTATGGAGTTTGAATGCAGATCAAAGCATCCTATTTGCTATTTCTTTTTCCTTTGGTTTTGTTTCGTTTCCTCTTCCTGGTGGTTCCTCCTATTGGTTCTAATTCTTCCTTACAACATCATTAATGTGAAAATGTTTAATAGGAATGTGTATATATAGCCTATATCAGACTGCACTCTGTCTTGGGGAAAGGGGTGGAGAAAAAATTAAAACTCAAAAGCTTATGGAAGTGATTGTTGAAAACTAAAAATAAATTAATAAAAAAGAAAAGAAGAGAAATGCTTGCTGACTGATTATCCCTCCCAGGATTGTGTCATCTGCAAATCTGATGAGCATACGATCTATGCCTTTATCCAAGTTACTGCTAAAAATATTAAACAGTACAGGGCCAAGCTCAAGTTCCTGGGATTCCTCCACTGGAAAGCTTCTGCCATGTTGATTTTGCACTAGTAGCAAGTACTTTGAATGCAGCCATACAATCGGTTGTTGATTCACTGATTACAAAAAAAAAAAAATCCCATGGTCCAACTTTCTTTAATTGTGAAACAAAGGGTTTTACCTTATTTTAAAAAAATTAGTTAATACTCATCATTTGGAGGGCACTACACTAAATCTACTCTGTTCTATATGAAGTTAACCTCACAATAAAAGAGTTTTCTTTCTTGCTAACGTGTATTTTCAGTTACCAGCCATCTGAAAGGAAGTATTTTGGAGGAACTGACCACTAAAATCATACTAAGCCTACTCTGTTTGGTCTGCAGATAACTATGGAATAGAGGCTTTTTCTTCTTTCAAAGAAAGGGCTTCTTCCTTGCTAAAAAGTAATTTCAGGGGGTAGCCAGATGATGCAGAGCACCACCCCAGGAGTCAGGAGGACCTGATTTCAAATCCAGCCTCTGACACTGGGCAAGTCACTTCATGCCATTGCCTCGTTCCCCCCCAACCCCAAAAAAGTAATTTCAGGCATCACCCATCAGGTGGAATGAGAGACTAGAGAAGAGGATATATTTTGGGGCTGATTACTTTCCATTTGGAAACATACATATACATATGAATATATATGTGTATACACACACACTTTGCCCCCACCCATTAGAATTTGACCTCTTTTAGGGCAGGTCTGTGCTTTGGTTTTTCTTTGGTAACCCCAGCTCGATACTGATAGACTTTGGGAATCTCACTACACATGAGAACTTTGTATCTCCAGCACTCAGCAGTGTCTGGCACACAGTAAGCCCTTAATAAATGCTTGTAGAATGAATGACCCACCCCTGACATTGAACTAGGACTACTTTGCTGGCTCTGAAGGTAACTGTGGAATAAAAGATTTTTCTTCTGAAAGAAAAGGTTTCTTGTTAAAAAGTAATTTCAAGCATCACACACTTGTTGGGGAAGTACTGTTGGGGAATACACCCTGGGAATTACAGTTAGGCCTATTTTGCTAGCTCTGAAGCTCACTAGACCATCCAGTTTTTTCCTTGTTAAAAAAGAAATTCAATCACCATTCATAAGGTGGGAAATATTTGGAGGGCATCCAATCCCAAAAGCACACCAGACCCAGTCTGTAGCCCCTGAAACCAACTGTAAGAACAAAAGACTTTCTATCTGGACGCAAGTGCTGACTTTTTCCTTGGTAAAAAGGAAATTCAATAACCATCCACTACAGCTGGGGAAGCATCTGGGGTACACTCATCACTGAAATGAACGCTAGGTCTACTCTGCTGTCCAGAATCACTCAGTGTTAGAGCTAGATTATCTAGATGAGAGGCAGGAAATTTTGAGTTTGAATTCTTCCTCAGATTCTTACTAGCTGTGTGACACTGGGCAGGTCGCTTTTCCTCTCTATGCCTCAGCTTCCTCATCTGTCAAATAAATAAACACATTTTTAAAATGAGAGGCTTAGAAGACCTCAAAGGTTCCTTTCCAGCTACAAATCTATGATTCTATGAGATAAAGCTCCTTGATTTTGGAGGAACAGAGAGCCAGGGAAGTATCAAAGACCCCTGCCTGATGTCACTAAAGTGGGTTCCGACCCTGGTCCTCACACCTTAAATCTTTTGCTCTTTCCTTTAATAACAATAGGGAGCATTTCTATAGTTTCAAGAGCTAAACATACTTATCTCATTCGATCCTCACCACAACCCTGTAGGGTAGGTGACACTATTATTGCTATTTTATAGATTCTTAACTGCAAATGACTCCAAAGTTGACTAAACCTGTAAGGGAGGTTGGAGGGAAGAGAGGATGAGGAATATGGGGAAAAATGAAGAGGAGGGGAGCAAGGAGGGATAAAGGAGAGGAGGAGGAAAGGAAAAGGGAGAAGGCAAGGGAAGGGGGAAAAGAGGGGTAGGAGGAAAGGGAAGGAAAAAAAGAAAGGGAGGGGGAAAAGGAAGGGAAAGTAAAAGACAGGGGAAAGAAGGGGGAGGAAAAAGGGGGAAGGAAAAGGGGGAAGAGAAAGGGGGGGAAGAGGGAGGAGGTAAGGGAAAAAGGGAGGGGAAGGTAAGGAAGGGGGAGGAATGAGAGAGGAAAAAAAGGGAAGGAGAGGAAGGAAAGCCTCTGAGGAGGGGAGGGGAGGGGAAGGAAGAGAAGAAGGGAAAGGAAGGGGCGTGGAGGGAGAGGGAGGAGAGACAGGGAGGAGAAAGAGAAGGTGGAGGGGAGAGAAAGGAGGAGGAAAGACAGAAAGGAAGGGGAAGAAGGAAAGGAGGTAGGGGCGGAGAGGAGGGGGAAACAGAGGGAAGGGAGAGGAAAGAGAGAGTGAGAAGGAGAGAAGAGGGAGGAAAAAGAAAAGAGAAGGAAGGGAGAAGGGAAGGGGGAGACGGGGGAATGCGGGACGGGAGGGAAGAGGAAGGAGTGAGGGCAAAGAAGGGGGGGAAGACGGGAGGATCACACTACCCCACTCCTCATCCTAAACCTGCCCAGCAGGCGTAGCTTCCACCCCCCCTCCCCCGCCTCATTTGCATCGAGAGCTCTTCCAGTCACCTCCTTCGTTTTTTCCAGGCCCACGGGATGAACCTTCGCCTCTTAACACGGCCTGTCAGGCCGGGCAGGCCTCAAAGGGCTTCCCTTCCTGCGGCGGGGCCAGGAATTTGTGCCTTACCTAGAAGGTGAGCTCCTCCTCGCCTCCCCGAGGCCCGAGGCCCCAGGCTCCCGGGCACCCCTCAGGCCCCGGCCGCCCGGTCTCTCCACACGCTTCGTCCCTTTAGAGGGAGAGCGCGGGGCGACGGGCTCAGGCAGCCAATCCTGGAACAGCACGGGCGCTTATGGGCGGGGCCTGTCGGGCGGGGCCCGGGGTAGAGTGCGGTTGCACTGAAAGGTCTTACCCGCCTTATGTCCATCCGCGCGGGAAAGGAAAAGAGATCCTAGGGCTAGACACTTTCGTCCGCCCAAGCAGGGCGAGGTTCTGAAGTATGGTGGCTAGATTGTGTGTGGGGGATGTCGTGGAATTTTGCAAAGAGAAGAAGAGGGGATAATTACCCCATGTGGAGGTCCTGTAGAGTAAGAAGAGGTGGCGGAATGATCGGAGTGATGGGAATCTCCAGGTGCTGTAATTGGAAGGGCTCTAAAGAGGCGGGGGAGGGAGGTTTTTTCTGTCTGCCTCGGCTGGAGGTGGGAAGGGTGGCGCCCGGGAAGAAGGAGGAGGAGGAAAAGGGAGTGATTTTGTTGGGGGAGGTAGGCTTGTATCTCCCGAGGGTAACCGCTCTTCTTTTCATTTTTAGGTCTGCAGTACAACTTAAGGGACTGATAGGCGGCACCCTTCCCCCATTCAGTGGAACTGGTGGGCTCAGCATCTTTGGGGGGCTCTCCCTTCGTGGATGGGGCTGGCAGAAGAGTCTCCCCTCCCTAACTCCTCCGAGCCTCCCCCTCCCATTTTGGATGGGGCTGTTTAACAGTCTTCCTCTCCCCACCCTGGGAAACATTCCCCAGCCCTGGATGAGAATGACGAAAGTCCCTAGCTCCCCCTCTCTGAAGCCCAGCCCCTTGTCATGGAAGGGGTGATGGGAGACCCCCACCCAAGTTTCCCATGGGGCTAATGAAGGTTCCTTCCCTCCATTTTTAGCTGTCCCCCAGTTGCACGGTTCTTGTGTGTTGCTGTCTGTACTTATCTCATTTGAGCCTTACAACTGTATGAGATAAGTACTATTGCCATTATTGTAGCCATTTTACAGATGAAGAAACTGAGCCTTAGTTAAGTAACGTAACCAGGATTAAGTATAAATCTTGTAGCTTCCGACTAGGTTCTTCGTGACTACAACTACTCTCAAGTCTAGCACTCACAACAACATATTGAAACCCAGAGAGCTCAGGATTGGAGGATAGAAGATCAAGCCAAATTTTGGTGTTTCTACTTAATACTTGTGTGACTGATTGCATGGCAGAATAGAATGCTAGATCAGAATTCAGAGGAATCAAATTAAAATGTAATGATCACGGGCAAGTTACTGAACCCTGAACCTTTCTGGGTGTTCCCTCATCTGTAAAATGAGTTTAAATTGGATGACTTCCAAGGTCTTTCTCGATCTTATTGTCTCTTCATAAAACCCAATGCTGATCAATTACAAATGATAGTAAGTTAAGTTTTCTAGCCTAAATTTTCTTTCAGCACTAATAAGGGGGAAAGGTCATGACTATTTTTCATTCCTTGTGCCCCAGGCCTTCGAACTGATGGGGAAAAAGAATCCTTGTTAAAATTTTAAGTTCTATGATGATTTTTCCATAAGGTATTGATATTATTAAACACAATTGAAATAAGTCCATTGAAGGTTCCAGTTGTAACCTTCCAACTAATTTGAAAAAATTTTCTTCATTATGGTAAGCTATCTATGGTGATTGGAATGCCTTGTCCCAAGTAAAAAGAACAAGTTGTATTTGTTTGGTAAATACATGTTCTTCAAAAGTCTATTTTGAAAGTTTAATCAAAATAAGAGAAATTCAAGGAAGTATTAAGGAAAAGTGAAGTTTAGTGTATTGCTCATTTCTAGGGGGAAAAAAAAATGAGTGGTCGAGCCAGGAAAAACAGAATGGCAAGAGGAAGGCTGCCACAGAAAGCCCAGAGTGGTGCACCTGTTGAGGTGAGCGCTCTCATTTCCATAAACGTGGATGTATCAAGAGCCAGCCACCCGTAGTCTTCAGTTGGGCATGTTGGGAATTCAGTATCCCTTATGTGTTGAGGATAAATGGGGTTAAGTTGTTGAATATCATAGATGGGGCCGGTACCAATAATTGGCAGTCCTGACCTTCTCCCTCTAATTAGCAACACCCCTCCTGCCCGCCACCCCCATCTCAGCCTCTCCCGGAAGAATCCTAAAAGACTATTGCAATTCTGTATCTGCCCAATGATTCCTTTACAAGTCATTTGTCTATAGTACGTGATGCATGTTTCCTTATTTCCCTAGTTTTCAAACAGGAGCTCCAATGGTAGCTCATAGTATATTTCTCTTCTGAAAAGTATTTAAATGAGGAGCAGATGTGCGTAAGTCTTTTGGTGTGCAAATAGTCTTAACTTCCCTTGCTCTAAAATTTTCATGCTGTATCTTTCTACTCCTCCTATTCCGAGGATAGTTTGTATTTGTCGTTTTAAATATTATTTCCTGACTATGCAACTGAGTCCTCTACTGGCATGTGAGATTTAATGGTACTTTTAAGTGCTAAAAAGTAAATAAACAAACTGCAGGGGGAGCAGCCTGGTAATGGGAGCTCTAGGGGTCAACAACGGCAGCGGCAGGGGCGGCAAGCACCAGAACCAGCTGCAGCTCTAGAAGTGGCTCCGGCACCAGCATCAACTCAGGCACGAGGTGGGGCAGAAATCTCGGCCCAGCCATCAGCAACCGCTAGGGCGCCAACTTGTGCAGAAATATTGACTCGACCAGCAGGACGAGCTCGGGCTCCAGCATGGGCTCGGGCAGCAGTGCCCATACGACCGCCACTGGCCCCGGCACCAGCAAGCGAGCTTGTTAGGCATGAAGAGCCAAGAGGGGCGGAAGGAGGAGCTGAGGTGGGAGCATCCACATTTCCAGGTGATGTTGTGGGAACAGGATTAAAAAATTACTATGAGTTTTGTTTTGTTTCCTTTTCTTCTCTTTTTAAAAAAATTATTTTTAACCTTCGTTTAAAAATATTTTGAGGTCCAAATTCTTTCCTTTCCTCCTACCCTTCCCCCATCTATTAAGAAGGCAAGACATGTGATATCAGTAACGCGTGTGAAATCATGCAGAACATTTCCATATTAACCATGTTGCCAAAAAAGCAAGAAAAATAAAGTGAAAAAAGTATGCTTTAATCTGCTTCCAGATTCCATCAGTTCTTTCCCTGGAAGTGGATATCATTTTTCATTATAAGTCCTACAGAATAGTCTTGAATCATTGTGTTGACCAGAATAGCTAATTCATTCACAGTTGATCACTGTGTACAATATTGCTGTTACTGGGTAGAATGTTCTTCTGGTTCTGCCCACGTCACTTTGCATCAATCAGTTCATGTCTTTCCAGGTTTTTCTGAAATCATCTGTTCATTTCATATAGTATAATAATATTCCCTTATAATCATATACCAGAGCTTGTTCACCCATTACCCAATTGATAGGCAAGTCCTCAATTTCCAATTCTTTGCCACCACAAAAAGAGCTGCCATAAATATTTTTGTACATGTAAGTCCTTTTCTTTTGATCTCTTTGGGATACAGACCTAGTAGTGGTACTGCATACTGTGGTATTGTATGTGCAGTTTTATAGCTCTGTGGGCATAGTTCAAATCAATCTCCAGAACAGCTGGATTACTTCACAGTTCTACCAACAGTATGTTACAGCGTCCCAATTTTTCCACATCTTCTCTGATATTTGTCATTTTCCTTTTCTGCCATATTAGCCAATCTGATAGTTGTGAGATTGTACCTCAGAGTTGTCTTAATTGGCATTTCTCTAATCAGTAGTGATTTAGAGCATTTTTTCGTAATTATAGATAGCTTTGATTTCTTCATCTGAAAGCTGCCTGTTCATGTCCTTTGGCCACTTAATCAATTGGGGAATGACTCATATTCTTATAAAGTTGACTCTGTGCTTTATATTTTTGAGAAATAAGGACTTTATCAGAGACACTTCTTGTAAATTAGTTTCCTGTTTTCCTTCTAATCTTGGTTGCATTGTTGTTGTTTTTTGTCGGGGGGGGGAACTTTTAAATTTAATGTAATCAAAGTTATTCATTTTACTTCCTATAATCCTCTCTTTTTGGTCATAAATTCTTCTCTTATCCATAGATCTCACAGGTAAAATTTTCTTTGCTCCTTAATTTGCCCTTCATATCAACCTTTATGTCTAAATCATATCCCCATTTTGACCTTATCTTGGAATATGGTGTTAGATGTTGGTCTGTACCTAGTTTCTGCCAAACTAGTTTTAGTTTTCACAGCAATTTTTTTCAAATAGTGAGTTCTTAAACCAAAAGCTTGGATCTGGGGGTTTATCAAGCACTACATTATTATGGTCATTTACTATTATGTATTATATACTTAATCTGTTCCACTGATCCACCATTCTCTTTCTTAGCCAGTACCAGATTGTTGTGATAATTATTGCTTTGTACTACAATTTGAAATCTGGTGTGGCTAGGCAACCTTCCTTCACATTTTCTTTCATTGATTTCCTTTGATATTCTTGACCTTTTGTTCCTCTAGATGAATTTATTTTTTTCTAGCTGTATAAAATAATTTTTAGTAGTTTGATCGGTATGGACTGAATAAATAAATTAGGGAGAATTGTCATTTTTATTATATTGGCTTGGCCTACCCATGCGCACTTTCTCTAGTTGTTTAGATCTGTTTTTATTTTTGTGAAAAGTGTTTTGTAATTGTGTTCATATAGTTCCTGGGTTTGTCTTGGTAGGTCGACTCCCAAGTATCTTGTATTGTCTACAGTTATTTTAAATGGAATTCCTCTTTCTATCTCTTGCTGCGGGGCTCTGTTAGTAGTATGTAGAAATGCTGATGATTTATAACTTTATTTTATATCCTGCAACTTTGCTAAAGTTGTTAATTGTTTCAGCTATTTTAATAGATTCTCTAGGAGTCTAAGGAAACCATATCACCTGCAAAAAGTGATAGTTTTGTTTCCTCATTGCCTATTCTAATGTTGTCAATTTCTTTTTCTTGTCTTATTGCTATAGCTAGCTTTTCTAGTACAATATTGGATGTTTCTTTTCTTTTTGAAGAAGAAAATCCTTTTGTCCATGCCCTATTACCAGATGATCTTC